TGTATGATGAGTGGTGTTTGATGAGTGGTGTATGATGAGTGGTGTATTGATGAGTGGTGTATGATGAGTGGTGTATTGATGAGTGGTGTATTGATGAGTGGTGTATGATGAGTGGTGTATGATGAGTGGTGTATGATGAGCGGTGTATGATGAGTGGTGTATTGATGAGTGGTGTATTGATGAGTGGTGTATGATGAGTGGTGTATGATGAGTGATGTATTGATGAGTGGTGTATGAACAGGTCTTGAATGTCCGCAACATGGAAGTTTCGTACACTAAACTTCCTTTGATCATGGGATGCGTTTGCTTCTAGTGGGTGGGCAGACCGTGTGGCGACGCGACGCGCGTGATGTGGCAGCGCCATTGGGGTTTGCATGGCCTTGGTGGAAAGTGCATTTGCGTGGCCGAAAGAGTGCCCTGCAAGAGCTTCCTACAAGAGTGACCCAGAAGAGTGTCCTACAAGAGTGTCCTGCAAGAGTGTCCCACGAGAGTGTCCTACAAGAGTGTCTCACAAGAGTCTCCCACAAGAGTGTCCCACAAGAGTGTCCTGTATGAATGCCCCTCAAGAGCGTAGTGTCCTACAAGAGTCTCCCACAAGAGTGTCCCACACGAGTGTCCTACAAGAGTGTCTCACAAGAGTGTCCCACCAGAGTGTCCCGTATGAGTGTCGCGCAAGAGTCTCCCGCCAGAGTGTCCTACAAGAGTGACCCACGAGAGTGTCCTACAAGAGTGTCCCACAAGCGTGTCCCACAAGAGTGTCCTACAAGAGTGTCCCACAACGTTCTCCTACAAGAGTGTCCCACAACACTCTCCCACAAGAGTGTCCTACAAGAGTGTCCTACAAGGGTGTCCCGCAAGAGTGTCTCACAAGAGTCTCCGCTAAGAGTGACTCACAAGAGTGTCCTATCCCGCAAGAGTGTCCCACAAGAGTGTCCGACAAGAGTGTCCCATAAGAGTGACCCACAAGAGTGTCCTACAAGAGTGTCCCGTAAGAGTGTCCCACAAGAGTTCCCTACAAGAGTGACCCACAAGAGTGTCCTACAAGAGTATTCCACAAGAGTGTCGTACAAGAGTGTCCCACAAGAGTGTCCCACAAGAGTTTCCTATAGGAGTGTCCCACAAGAGTGTCCCACGAGAGTGTCCCAGAAGAGTGTCCCACAAGAGTGTCCCCTTCGAGTGTCCCACAAGAGTTTCCTACAAGAGTGGCCCACAAGAATGTTCCACAAGAGTGTTCCACAAGAGTGTCCCACAAGAGTGTCCTATAAGAGTGTCCCGTAAGAGTGTCCCACAAGAGTTTCCCACAAGAGTCCCACAAGAGTGTCCTACAAGAGTCTCCCACAAGAGTGTCCTACAAGAGTGTGCCACAAGAGTGTCCCACAAGAGTGTCCGGTAAGAGTGACTCACAAGAGTGTCCTATCCCACAAGAGTGTCCCACAAGAGTGTCCGACAAGAGTGTCCCATAAGAGTGACCCACAAGAGCGCCCTACAAGAGTGTCCTGCAAAAGTGTCCCGTAAGAGTGTCCCACAAGAGTTTCCCACAAGAGTGACCCTATAGAGTGTCCTACAAGAGTGTTCCACGAGTGTCCTACAAGAGTGTCCCACAAGATTGCCCCGCAAAGTGTCCTATAAGAGTGTCCCACAAGAGTGTCCCACAAGAGTGTCCCAGAAGAGCGTCCCACAAGAGTGTCCCCTTCGACTGCCCCACAAGAGTTTCCTACAAGAGTGACCCACAAGAGTGTCCCACAAGAGTGTCCCACGAGAGTGACCCACAAGAGTGTCCCACAAGAGTGTCCTACAAGAGTGTCATTTGGACATACGTAGCTTTTCGAACGTGTTTGCATGCGGGTTCGTGGGTTCCATCTATTTTTTCGATAGCTAATGTTTTCCAAAAGAGACTCTCCCGAGAGGCTAGAAGATGCGCGTTGAACATCGTTGAAACGCTTGCGCCGGCCCCCGCGTGACAAAAACATGCTCGAGGCCAACAACACCGCATCAACGAATAGCCTGTTTGGCCGTTGATTGGGAATTGCCCAACGGGCAAGCTAGGGGATCTGAGGGCGTTCAAGTGGGGGACTGGACTTGGTAGGCCTTCCCCATAACAGTTTCTGTTATAACTTTTAAATAAGGAACCAAGGGTGAAAACTCATGTACCTGACCAGCAACGGCAACTGGGTTGTTGCCTTCACCAGAGGATTCTGGTTGGGCTTTGGCTTTTTGATTTGCGGCTTGTTGCGCACGTTCTCTTCTTGCGATGACCGACACGGATGTGTCGAGCGAAGAGGGGGAGGCGGTCCTCCCTCAAGCAGAGACAGTGTGGCGCGCTGTCCTTTTCGCCCTTTCTGCGCAGCGAACGAATTGGAAGCTGCTGTATCCAACTTGGCGCATCTGCGTCGTTGGGCGTTGCCTGAAGCAGTGTTTGCGGGCTCTCGGCGCGGGCGTGTGGACCCTGCGTGGCAGAGGGTGTGCCTGGCGAAGCGCAGCCAGGAACGGTGTTCCGCGGTTGAGGCTGGTCTAGAGGATACTCTCTCATGGCTGCGCAAGAAGTCCGGGGCAGTTAGCCGTCGCGCAGCTCGTGGAAGCAAAAGGCTTGGGGAGTCCCGAGCCGATCTAGAGAAAGCCGTTTTACAAAAACGGCGGACAGCGCTGATGGAATTGGTTGTGGAAGCAAAACTCCCTATCTGGCGGCAGGCCGAGTTGGCCTCATTGGCGGAGCCAGACGTAGCGGTAGCGCTCAGCTTGGGGAGCCTTCGCGCCGCTACAATGGCGCAATACCTGCGCTAATCATTGGTGCTCTGGAGCTGCTGGTGGTTGACCGTTCAGCTTCAACCTTCGGTCGCTCGCGTGGCACAAGCTGGTGAAGTTATGGGCAGCGTCTCGTACAAGTGACCTTACTAGCTTGTCCCCAACATCCCTGAAGCTTGGCACTCAAGGGCTTTGCGGCTGGCTGGAGAGAACTAAAACATCCGGGCCTGGCAAAAGGGTCCGTCGCCTGCCGATTTATGTTTCAGGCGCTGCGAATTTATTCACTGGCGATGCAGCAGGGCTGGAGCTTGTGGCAACGAGCGGATACGTCATTCGACCGAGACTATTTTTTGCCACTGCCTACCGCTGATTGGGGCAGTGTGCGCCACGTGATGGCGGGCTATGCAGACACTGCGGCTTTGAATAAAGACTTGCTGCGGCGGTTGCGACGTCCAGTCAAAGTGTCTGGGCGGTGGACTTTGTCTGAGCAGCCTTTGTTATGGATCGAGCATGTGGGAGCCTTTTGGTCGGAGCATTCGGAACGCAATTGGATGGTTAGCATGCTCGCGGCCATTGGAGTGGAGCGCGCAGAGCGCGATTTTGTGGGTCGCTGGGGTGTTTCTTCTGGCGACGAATATTTGCGCACCGCACAGCGGCGATCTGTGGGTTGCAAGAGCGCCTTGTTGCATACTTTTGCGAAGCCAACAAATGGGATTTGAGGCATGCCGGCATTGAAGAGTTCGAGCAGCATCTGCAAGCGCGCAAGGTGGCTGCCGCAGCTGTTGCGAGCCAATGCAAAGTGCCTTGCGGTTGCCGTCAAACTGGTGCAATCGTCGAGGCCGGCATGAGACAATGGCGGCTGCGCTAGAAGATTCAGGCGTATCAGCAGATGAGTCTCTTCGATCGAGGTGCAGTCCATGGAGCCTGTCTGGGTATATTGCGCGGGCTGGCGTGTGACTTGGCTTGCCGTCATTGCTGGCGTTGCGGCGACGCCACACTTTCGGAAGCCGAGGAAGCCGATGACTCGGGCAGCGCTGAGGAGCCCTGATATAAGCTACTATATGTCCCAAGCGACCTGGCTAGACACACGTGGTATAGGGTTTAGGTGTATGCTTCCATTTGAGCGATGTGGATCGCATGTTACCGTCCGTGCGGGTTGGTCGCTTCTCTTTCCGATCAAGCGGTTGGGGAAGCTGACGAGGTGCTGAGGGGTTCTCAGCATGATTGTGTAACTTGGCTCGCGCGTTCCCGTTTGTGCGAGTTGGTCGCATGTCTATGCGCTGATGAGCAGTCAGCATGATTCTGTCGAATGAATTGTTTGATGTGTTCAGCGTGCGAGGTGTTCGCATGATGCTGAAGTATCAGGGCCTGGTGGCTTTGGTGGGTTCCCGTATTTAGGTGTGAACGGTTTGTCTCAGGTACCGGGGTATCCAGTGAGAAGTGTGCAGTTTCCTGCTGTAGGGCGTAGCCGGTGGCTGGCATGGAAAGTTCCAGCGGGCGCGCCTTGCAGCTGTGTACTGTGCTCAATTTCGTTAACTATTGCTCCTTGTGCGTTCAAGCCATGGCCGCCAAGATGCCGTCTTCCGATCTGCAATTCCAGATGGAAGAGGCTGGGGTGTTTGCCGCTGCGCAGCAGAAAATCTACGGGAAAGGCTTCACTTGCCTGCCGACTTTTGCGGGCTCTGCCATACACAGTCAGCGATGTCTTCCGGATAGATGCCAAAGCGCAGGGTGACTGGGTAGTGGTCGGTGGATGGGAGAGCTACAACAACACCCCACCATCCCTGGCCAGATGGTTCAGCATCAGATTGACCCGAGCATCTGCGCCCTGGGCCTTTGCAAAAGGGGAGGCCTTCAGATGCATAGCCGCACTGGAACTTGCTGCAGTGTTGCGCGCAATTTGTCTGGTTGGCCCCGACGCGGCATGGCGCGGGTGTGTTGGATTGGTACAGATCCAGGGGGTGACAGACAACCAAGCAAACACGTTTGTAGTAGACAATTATATGTCCACAAGTTACCCCTTGAACGTTGTTTTGATGGAGCTCGCGGTGCAACTGGACAGTGTCGGCGCAGCGTTGTCATTGCAGTGGGTCCCGAGAGAGTTTAACGCGGAGGCAGATGCGTTAACAAACGAGGACTTCTTCGCTTTTGACGTCGGCCCACGAATCCTCGCTGACTTCGAGGACCTCCCTCTGACTGTCCTGCGCAGCTTGATGCCAGTAGGCAAGGAAGTTTGCAGCGAAGCCATTGTTTGCAAACGATCAAGGGGTCCATCTGATCCGATTGCGAAAACGAGGAAGGGGCAAATGCGATGGTCCGACCCCTGGTAGGCTAGCCTACTGCTGCTCCTCCGGATCCAGCCTTCCATGGCTGATGTTCCCAAAGGCATGAATTGCCTGACTTTGTTCCAACTCCAGAAGCGAGAAAAACGAAGAGCACCGGTGTCCGTTGAGTGAACGGGGAGGGCGATCGGCTTTTGGTCCTTCTTCTTTTGTTGCCATGCAAACGCGGTGAGATCCCACAAAAGAGGAACCTGTCACAAAGGTTGAACTCTTGGAGAGGAGCAGACTATCCAAATAGGAAATCTTTCAATAATATACTGTGCAGTAATATTTGATGGGGCCATTACAAAGGAGCACATATTCATGAATACCATTGCTCCGCAACAACTTGCAAACCTTGTGCGCTATGCTTGTTGCATTGATTCATACTGAATGTTCAACAAAGTCATAAAGGTTGCAACGAGTCCCACGCTTGTCTTGACACCGGCTGTTCAAGGACACGTGCTTCCACCGACCGAGGCCTAAGGGAGTTGAGTAGCCGGCTGCAGAAGTTGTAGTTTATCAGAAACGGAAACTGCTCAGGACGTCAACCAGAATAAACCAGAATATGTACGCAGCGTTATGTTTACGTAGCAATACTAACGCAGGCTCCCACGCGCGCTCTTCTTTGGGGACCATGTCTGAGACCTCGAGCCAGCTCTAGGTTGGAGTGCGATGTGGGACCCTTGGGCAGTGTGCTAAGCACACTGTCCTTGTTTTGCTCGCTTTCTAAAAGTTGGAAAAGAGCTGAAACAAACCAAGCGTGAATGAATCTACCATTGAAGTCCATGGTTCTTGTGCAATATGTCTTGCCGGAGGTTGCTTTTTGGGGTGCTCAAGCCAAAACCCAGCTTATGTCTACTTGCTGAGCACGTCAACGCTCAAGTTTCCCACGAAAGCTCATCTGTACATAGCGTTGCTTCGAGAATCAGCGGCTGCATAGGCTTCAAAGAATCGACCAGTGATTCATGCCAAACAAGACGACCCGCCAGACCATCAAGTAAGCAGGCGGCCACCAAAAAGACCAGGTAGCCCACTAAAAGGAACAAGCAATTAGACAAGACAACCTCAACAGCCCGAGCATCCATCGATTTGGAATTTGAACGAGGCATATCAAGGGAAAGGGTCTCGGATGTGACGCGGATTTCGGATTCGGATGTGACGCGGACCTGTTGGCTCGGATGTGACGCGCCCGTGCTCACCTTTGGATCTGGTGCGCTGCTGGGGGGGGTGCTGCCGCCCCCCCAACCAACCCCCCACGCCACGAAATCTGCACTTCATCTCCGACGCCCGCGCCTGCCACGAAATCAATATTTTAAGGTGTGCCCGTGCGCCTGTGAGCAGTAGTAGTAGTAGTAGTAGTAGTAGTAGTAGTATACTTAGCAGAAAGGAGAGTTGTAGTAGTTTTGGTGTCGCAAATGAGTCAGTTTTGGTGTCGCAAGTGAGCCCCTTGCCCATATCAAGCATCCAGCATTTACATTAGCGAAAGCTAAGAAGCTAACACCAGGACCGCGAAGGAAGATCACATTATATAACACAGTGGGGAACAAGGCAATAAGGGGTCTTAGACGCCCAACCAAATGAGCAAGACAGCCAAGCTGGAGGCGTCCAGGCAATGAAGCCGAGGAACCAGCAAGGAACACAAGCTATCTCCAAAGCCTCCAGCCCTGCCTAACGTGGCTTTCTGACCAACAATCCTCTAATTTCCCAGCCCGGCCCTGGGGGCTTTGCAGCACGACTCCGCGGATATTTGGTCCAAAGGGACGGGGGCTTGCTGCGCACCGTCTCAGAATGCCGGAGACCTATGATCTATTCCGTGGACTGCAGAGATGAGTTGGTGCTCTTCGACTTAGGCTTCGGCTTCGGCGATGGATCACACTGGCCCTCGGTCGGGATTGCAATTCATCAAAACGAAAATGATATCGGCGCATGAAAGACATTCGCGTTAGGCTTGCTGACAGTGTGCCTTTTGCAGGCTCGTAGTGATTTGAAAGAACTGACCCTGTAACCAAACATATGCAAAAAGTCTTCAGTCAGGTCCCTGGTGAAGGCTTTGTACAGCTTGCCAGAGCCTCATGTTTGCAGAGATCTTGTTACCGATGTGCAGCCTTCATCTCCAAAGGCGCCAGGTGGTCGCTGCTACGCTCCACATTTGACTCAGTGGCTCGACGGGGTTAGGAAATTGACAATTGAGTTTTCACTCTGCAATTCGATTGCTTGAATTGCCAACAACTTGAAGGCAGGCGCCAGCTTACGGACAGGCTCAGCTTCGGCATGAGTCCAGCAATGGCACAGGTGGGTTTCAGATTGGATTGACACTGGAATATGCTGCATTCAATTCATGGGCTTGACTTTGTTGGAACAACTCAATGTCAGGAAGTGGCTTTCTTTGGCTTTTGCTTGGTGCAGTTGCTCTCACTCGAAGGCCGTAGATTGACGAATCTTTGTGCAAGCAAACAGTTCCAAAGCTGAGGCCATTTGCAGGGCAGGGCACATCCCATGTCACCTCCAGCAACATGCTTGTGGCACAACCTGGCGATGCAGGTGGTGGCCAAGAGGAATACAATATGTTTCATGCGACCACTTTGTAGACTGACTCGGTTTAATGGTAGTTGGTTTGACGTGATTTGCGCAGTTGACATTGATGCTCCAACGGTGATGGGACAAGTGCCTCGCAGGCTGGATAGCCACATGTTCTTGCATGCAGCGTTGACCGCTGATATTTATATATATATATTGTGAAACGGACATGAAGCATGGCAGTTGAACATCCTTGGAGGGCATGCAGTTGCGCATGAAACCATGCATCCGCGCCGCAGAGCGCTCTTGAGTGTTCAAGCAAAAAGGCGCCTTCGATCCGGCGCGCCGTCTCGCGGATTTTGATGGTAGGCGGAGCCGCTTCATTGCGGCCTCTGCTAGCGGTGCGCTAGTTCGCGCCGTGCCTTGCGCGCTCGCTCTCCTGAGCGGTTGTCCGACGGCGGACGCCGCCTTGGCTCCTGGCGGCTGCTCGGCCGCGGCTTCCGCCCCGCCGCTGCAGATCCAGGGCCCACGCCCTCACTACGACGTCGGCGCGCCTTGAATGTGACCGACATGGAGTCCCGCAGTTCGACGGGACGGCAGATGTGTTTGAAGAATATGAGGAACGGGCTTGGGACTTGTTCTATGGAAGAGCTGGCAACGACGCCACCCAGATCGCCACACCGATCCACCTTCGTTCAGGGCTCACGGCCGCTGCTTATGATGCTGTTCGCAAGCTGAGCCACGAATCCCTGCGCACTTCGAGGGATGGAAAGGCGACTGATGCTGGCGTGAAGCTCCTCATCCGGACTCTCAAAGAGTCCATAGCTGCTGAAGTTCCGGTGAGGATCAACGAGCTCTTCCTGACCGCCTTCTACTCGCCCCAGGTTTGGAGAAAGCCCTCAGAGACGATGTATATTGTGAGAAGGGAGCAGGACTTCAACCGGCTGCTGGAAGCATCATCTGGCACCCAGGTCTCCGACAACCTCCGCAGTATGATGTTGCTGATCTTCTCCGGCCTGGACCACCGCGAGCAGTTGAGCGTCCTTGCAAGTGTTGGCAATGAGTATGACTTCAAGAAGATCAGTCATGCCCTGAGGATTCAATACCCTCAAGCCACGGGCAAGCCACTTGCAAGAAGAGATTATTTGGGAGCCAGTCGAGGCTCACGAAGCTTCAATGATGGCCCACCTCAGAGCCGCTACAAGTGGAAGATGGCCCAAAAGGCTCGTTCAGTTTTGGCTGCAACCCATGAAGATGAGGATGATGACCCTGCAGCCGACCTCGGCGAAGAGATCTTCTACGAAGATGAGGTCCCTGAGGATGACGAGCCGGCTGATGAGGCCTTCGTGAACTACTCCGACGATGAAGAGTTGGAGGCCCTCCTGAGCGAGAATCGAGAACTGCTAGATGATTCCCAGGTGGCTGAAGCATACGCCACCATTGCTCAGTTCAATAAGAAGAAGCAGTTCAGCACCTCTCCCAAGAAAAGCTCAGGAGGACAAGGTGGTCCATATCCCTTCAAGGCCACCGGAGAATTGAGTTTTGATGCCAAGGCCAAGGAACAGCGCAAGTCAGCTGTTCGCTTCTTGAAGAGCGTCACTCCATGCACCACTTGCGGCCAACGTGGTCACTGGTCCGGCGATGCAGAATGCCCTCAACGCTCCAACACCAAGAAGGGCAAGGGAAAGGGAAGTCAGGCTAAGAAGAAAGCCTCACCGAAGAGGACATCGCAATCCTTCTTCGTGCTCCACGACCAGATCGAGTCTGATGAAGAAGCTGAGGTCCAGTTCACTGAGGCCTGCAACTTAAGGACTTCCAGCGACCCTTCCATGCTGCTATGGAGAAGGAATGGTCCGCCCTTGTCGCCAACAATGTTGTTTTGGAGCATCCTGTCATCAACATCGCGGACACCTTTGAAGTGCCACCGAATGACATGGATCATGAGAATGTCTTGCCCCCAACGTATGACCTGATCCATGAGTACGCCGACGTGACGGCGAATGACCCAGTCCTCGACTCCATCGACGGCACTGGACGGAATGCAGACGCCTACACGATGGCGAATGACCCGGTCGCTGACCCCTCCGATGGCAATGGACCGGGAGCTAGTTTCACCGCTTCCAAGTTTTCCGAATGCTTTGTCAACTTCAAGAGCCCAATCCTCTGCGAGCATGCCCGAGGAAATGGTGGCCCTGAGCGTCAGTATCATCGTGGAGCAAACGGCCACACGAGACACCTCTCCTGCAAGGACTGTGACAAGACTGTTTTGGTCGCCCGCCGGAAAGAACCTGTTCAGTTGTGGGGCTACATGTTCCAGGTTCTCATGGCCACAAAGTGGGGATCAGCACTTCGATCCGAGGGTCTCTATCGCTATGCAGGCCGCCTGACTCACGAGCACGCTCGAGAACGAGATGGACTACGTCCTCTACCACCACCTCGTGGTTCCTCCGCTATGTCAGCTGCGCCCTCAGCCTGGGAGTTGGTCGCACCAAGCACTCCTTCAGGCTATGTCAAGTCGCCTTCATCACCAAGTACCACCTCGGAAATGTCAACCGCACGGATCGTGCGACAGCCCAGGCACCAGGCCTGGCTCTATGGAGTGCAGCTTGCACCAGGTGTTGAACTTCCGCCATTCCCACCACTTGCGGAAGGTGATGAAGACATCTTGATCCCTTTGCCTTCGGACCAGGAACCTTTGATGTTGGAGCAGGGAACGATTCCTTTTGCAGTTGCTTCTGCCTCTCCCAAGTACGAGCCCTACTGCCAGCAGGTACTGCAACATGCCTTGGACAATCAGCCCATGGACCCGACGGTCTATCGCTTTGCCTTCTACCTGTACGGCAAGGTCAAACTGGCATGGGCAGCTGGCCACCGACTCGTGAAGGGTGCTGGATCTTCCGCTGCCAAGCGAGGCAAGTCTGATGACATGACCGGCACGAGGTACATGATCTTCCCTGTACGAGCAGACCCATCTATGCCTGCTCAGGCCCAAGAGTGCGAATGCATGATGGTTGCCTCCGAAGAGATCGAAGAGAACGTCAAGTATGAGGCCTTTGCGCTCGAAGCGCAAGATCCTCCAGGTCTGGCCATCCTCGACTCCGGCTGCACAAGAACCGTGCACGGCTCAGAATGGGCACACGAGTC